TAACCCATTACACTCAGGTATACCCAATACCTGTAACCCATTACACTCAGGTATACCCCATACCTGTAACCCTTTACCGCATACCTGTAACCCGTTATACACGGGTGTACCCTTATACCTGTAACCGATTACACTCAGGTGTGCCTACCTGCTTTCTTTGGCTTATACGTGTTACCTGCCAGATTTACACCTGTCGCACACTCGCTTGTGACTCGCCGCTTGTCGAATGTCTCGCACACTCGCATCTGTCACATGTCCCACTCACACTTGTCACCTGTCACGCCCTCGCGTGTCACCTCTCATCTCTCACATGTGCCAGCTGTCGTCAGCACCTACCTCTCTCGTGCAGGCGCCGCCGCAGTGGCCATACGTCGTGAACGACTCCTGGTAGGGCGGCACCAGCGTTGTCCAGTTCATGTTCATTCCGCTTACCAGCACACCGCCATCGTTCTGCCGCAGGTTAGCCGTGTAGTACACGCGGATGCCGGAGTTGTCCACCACACCTGCCGGTCAAGAGGGGTCAAGAGGGGTCAAGCGCGGTTAAGAGGTCAAAAGATGTGAGGAGGTAAACGATCCGCACTAAAGCAGCCGCGGACAATACGGTAGTAGTCGCCAGGTGTCGCTGATGTAGGCAACGTACTCGGGCAGTGACGCGTTTAAACCGCTGGGCGGCATGAGCGATGCAAGTAAGCTCCACACACTCCCGCTCCTCACCACTCTCCGCGCACGCGCGCACGCACACACGCACGCACACACGCACACACACATGGACGCACGCACGCACGCACGTACGTACTTCAATACATAGATATCTTATAGATAGACTTAATTCTGTCTTATATAATGATATCTATGCCTTAATTTCACCAACCTCCTCTGCTAATCTTCTTACGCCGCCTTCACACCAGGGCGGCGCTTTATCCGGGAACCGTCGTCGTTATTCGTGACTAACCACTTTAGCATTGTCGTCTTCTCTCTCTCTCTCTCTCTCTCTCTCTCTCTCTCTCTCTCTCTCTCTCTCTCTCTCTCTCTCTCTCTCTCTCGCTGCGCGCGTAATGCTATTACGGCCGCGTCAGTGTTGTGTGTATACTTTTAATTTCATTAGTCAAACTCTATTTACGTTTCGCGAAAGAGGAGTCGGGCATCGCTCGATGCGAGGCCGCGAAGAGAAATCCATATTCGAGGAAAAACGAAAGAAGGTCGAAGGAAAAAAATATCGCAGTCCATGGTGGGGGAGTGGGAAAGAAGGAGGGCGGAGGCAGAGGGGAGGATGAGAGGATGCTGGAGATGCAGGGATGCAGGGCAAGGATGCGAGGATGCTGGGGATGCTGGGGAGGCAGAGGGGAAAATGAGAGGATGCTGGGGATGCAGGGATGCTGAGGGGAGGATGCGAGGATGCTGGGGATGCAGGGATGCTGAGGGGAGGATGCGAGGATGCTGGGGATGCAGGGATGCTGAGGGGAGGATGCGAGGATGCTGGGGATGCAGG